TCCACTCCTTTGTTTTTCACATTCTGTCTCTTTTCATTTGTCATCTACTTTCTCTTCTCCTTCTTCAAAATCACTCTCATTTTTTCCTTCTCTTGTTCCCTTGTGTTATTCTTCTGGTATGTTGTTCTCTTTTTTTCTTTTTTTCTCTATCTTCCATTTCATCCCATTCATTATGTTTGTACTTCTAGCAGGGTTTCAGCCTGCACTAAAAAAGTATTCAGAAAAGATCCAAACTTCATCTGCTTCGAATATCAACATAACACGTTTAACACTGTTTCTCCTTTAATTCAGAGGAATATGGGAATATGAGAGAGCTTAGTAGAACAGTATCACTTTTTTTCATCTCAAATTAACCACTCTCTCTTCATCTTATTGCCTTCTATGATCTTTATTTCCTCATTGTCTATGTAACCTTTGTTTTCTCCTCGCCCACCATCTTCTTCGAGTTGTTTTCTTCGTCTTTCTTGCACTCGCATTTCATAGTTAAACCTATTAGAAATGAGGTGCAAGGAATATTATATATGTAACTGGTAACAATGATTTTCACACAATTTTAAAGAGAATTCAAACCTCATAAATATTCTCCTCTTCCTCCTTTTTATTCTTTTTCTCTTGAACTACTAGCTGAATAAGTTGTACAGCAATTTACAAGCTAGTTTGTACAATGAATTGTTCATTTCTTCATGTCCTCTTGTTCCTTCTGTCACTGCCAGCACATCACATTTACCACTCGTTCATTTTAAACTTACAGGGAATGTAGAAATTACACAAAGAACCCACAAGTGTTACAGCTTTGTAAATATTCATTTAACCTCTCACTTGTTCTTGCTGTTCATCATTGTCACATTCAGTGTAGTCTTCTTCTTCTTCTTCTTCTTCTTCTCCTCCTCCTCCTCTTCCACCGAATACTGTTTTTGTTCTTTGAAATTATAACACTGGCACAAATAGGCACAGCAAATGAGTGTTGCTCATAGAAACTCGCTTATTCTGTCACTGTTTCTATCCCAAATTGAGCTATTACATTCATATTCATCATCTTCATCTGTGTGTTCATTCTTTTCCTCTCTTTTCTGCTCCCTATATCTCTTTGCACTACTAACACAGTTTCTACACAATTCAAACTGTAATCACAAACACTTTAAATGTCTCATGGAATATTAATGCCTTCCTGTCTTCAAGGTGTGGGTGGTTTTCATGTTTCTGTTTCACTCACCTCCTGACATGATAAAATCAGAATGATTTACTTCAGACCCAAGTTTTACCACAATTAGAAGTTTGTGAAAGAATTATCATTGTAAATGAAGAAATTATGAAACTTTCACGTGAGAGCCTTTTATAATGTGTTAAAAGACCTTATTTTGGAGCCATTTATCACCTTTTCATCAGCTGACTTGGCATGGATCCAGTGAAATCTATAGTAACATTTTACACGATAAAGTGGGATTCCAGCAATACCACGGTGTCTCTCATAGAAAGTTTGTATCCTTGGAAAAGGTGCTGGAGAAGAGATGAGTTATGAAGATGATGAAACATCTGCATAAGAGACAGATCCATGTGTTGAATAAAGGGATGAGTGCCCCATGGGAGGAATACGAACACACGGGCACGCATTAACTGAATTGCTGCAGTGTACTGTTTGTATGTTGGAATATAGGTACAATATATACCATAGAAAAGAATCCAAAAGGACAACCTGTGGAAACATTGTTTGTGTTAATGGCTGCCTTAAATGAAGGGTTTCCAGCTGCATTTACAGTAAGGTTTCATACCTCAAGCCACATGATCAGTTATACAAAATTTAATGAATTGCTTTCAGAAAACAATCAACTCCTTTAACCTCAGGTCTTGGGAATAAATCACAAGGGTCACAACTGCACCTCAGGATGTTGGGTAAGCTATGGCTGTCTAGAGAGTGTGTACGAGCAGACATAATGAAATTTGTGATCTTAGCTACTGGCTACTTGTAGTTCTACCAGCCACCACTAAACTACAAACATCACGCACCAACAAATATACCAGAATCTACAACAACACTAAGCATCAACAAATTACAAATATACAATCACTACATCACTTCCATTACCACAACACTATTTTCTACATCATACAAACATGACAAACTATTTCTGCACCCTTACTTGAGACCAGAAATTTCATTGAGCAATTTTGCATGTAATGGGACTGCTCTAACTTAACCTGGTAGTAGATATATGAGTCATGTGGTTTATGCTGTGGAAAACTCATTGAGATTCACAACTGATATTCACTTAATGTCATATTATGAGGGTTGCAAATTTTCAAGTCAATAACACTGAAAGGCACTTAACCACATTCATATTACAGCTGTTCTTTGAGGGCTAAGATACCTAATAGTGCAAGATTCAGATATATCCTTCAAATTAGAACAATAGTGAAAGGTAAGAAAGGGAAAAATTTTGACTAAAATGGAATCATAGCATTTGGTGTAACAGGATGTCATGGAAGATCTGTAACTGTTTTTAGTGTGAAATGCGTATTTCTCAGATAACGAAGGAAGTGTAAAGGTCGAAGACACTAAACATGAACTGTTCTTATTAAAAGAGAAAAGCTGAATTACTTAAAATTGTCAGGATGGTGTGATATATCTGCATGAAGTTTTGGTTAGAGGACACAGATTCCAAATTCAGACCAATGTGGAGTACATTTACCAGTCAGCACAAGGAAAGTTATTTTGTGGATACATTGACATGGAAGGTTTATTGAATTACCAGAGTGAATGGACTCAGCGCCTGGGCATATTTTCTTGAAGTCATATATATATATATATATACACACACGCACACGAGAAGCTTCGTGTAATTTACAATGCCAAGAAAAAGACATGTGCCATGTCAAAATGAAACTGGAACTGAGGCAAATCTAGCTAATGTATCAGCATATGTCAACCAAGAAGAATAATAATGTGATGACTGTCACAACGCCATTGTCAGAAAGTCAAAACTGGATCTCAACCCCAGGATGGAAACAGCAGAAATTGTGAACTTAACAGGAGATAAACTTGTACAAACCAGAACAAACATACTCGTATTTATAGCTGAGATGGAAGGTTCAAGGGAACCAAGAAAACCGTTGTCCAACTCATAGTTGTAATTTGGATGAGACACATACCCTGTAAATCGCCACCTTTCTCACAGGAGTGAGACATTAGAAAACAAACAACTTGAGGGATTAATTGTACCAGACAGATATGACTTCCTTTGGGAACAGAGAGGTGAAGAAAATTATATGGCGAGAATCATTTCAATTTTACTTTTCAGTCAATATTCTTTTTATGAGAAAACATCGATGATGTATTGTTAAAGTTAAAGAAGAAAAAATAATAAATGCTTTCTGGAATGCAGTAGTAGGGTCACACAATGTCACATCATTTCCACATTTTTCTTTTCTTCTCCCCAGGCTTATTTTTCTTCTTTGTAAATCATTCTCCCCAGTCTTATTGTTCTTCTTTGTAAATCAAACACACCATGGATACCTTCATTGTTTTTCTAATTTTGCAATGTACTTTCATTGTTAGGAGGCTCGTCGTGAGGATGTTAGCTGGATGTATATTTCAGAACCACTTATATTGTTTGTATTCTTGCACTGACTCTGTGGAAATACCTAAGGAAGTGCTTAAATGTCCCTTGGATCCAAGAATTCTGTCTTAAGCTCTAACAGTTTCCTTGCTTGTTGGTTTTGGTTACAGTTAGCGTCACTTCACGAGATAAGCTGGTCCTGTCTCCATGGTGTTAACATAGTTCCTTTTCAGGGTTTCTTTTGAGTTTCTTCATTGTACAGAGAGTTTTTGGTCAGCTGTGTGTGGAATCATGTAGGCAGCCTCATGTTGAGTTACAGTTTCTTTTGAAATTCCAGTACAGAGCTGTTTATTTTACCATGTCTAATCTCTATTCAGTTTAGAGGTATGGTGCTACATGGAGCTTGTACTGTAAGAAATACATTGCCATCTCATTCTTGTCCTCCACCCCCTTCTCCTCCATAATGGCCTGAAAATTGAAATAATCTGAGTTTTTAATACAGAGATCACTTTCATATTTTCACAAGATCTTCCATAATTTAGATTAAATAAATCTTTATACATGAAGGCATAAGCAAATATACACAAAATCACACTACAACAGGACCATTGACAGCAGGCTGAACCAGAAGGATCAGAATCAGCAATTGATAGCTTCACTACCTTTTCATTTGTTGATTCAGTCTGTCATAGTTCCTGCCAGACAAGTTGCAGCAATCCCATAAGAAATACACATCCAAATAAGACACATAAAATGCAACACTCCTGGAATAGAAAGCACAAAATACAGCACATTTTGGAACAGCTGCAACTTGCCTACCACAGCCTGGCATTTGAAGCTCCATGCCAGCTACATGAGATCATCTAGCCAAAATACAGGTGATTCCTCCTTGTAATTTGGAGGTAGAGATTAAACTTCTAAATGCTGCATGAATGTGCAGCTATGGAGTGTAAGTTCCAAGTCCTGTCTACGAAAGTTGGGGGGTGTTTTGCCACCA